TCAAATTTCAGAAATCGGGAATTCTTTCTTCAAATCTCGATTTTTCCAGAAATTTGTGAATTCCCGATTCACGTTTATACATAAATTTTCAAAATTTGTGGATATATTCTAGCCAATTTTTTCAAATTTTTTATTTGTTTTATGACTCGATAATCTTCGTTTTTGATTGACAGAAAAACGGGACAAACACCAACATTTTTGAGCTGATAAGAACTTTTTTCCGATTGATTTTTCATTTCGATTACTATTTTTGACCAAATTTTGGCAGGAATTTTTTTTCCGAACTTTTCTGGCCATTTCGAAAAAAATGACGGACCCTCCTGCAAAAAATTTTTCGATTCGCTTGGAATTTCGAAATTTACAAAGTATGATTTATGCGAAAAAATATTATGGAGTCACTGAAAATCACTTTGGCCTTGATTGGTGAGTTTCTAGTTTCAAATTCCGAAATTCTGGAATTCTGAATTTCTGAAATTATGAAATTCTGAAATTTAGAAAATCAAAATTTATCATGAGAAAATCATTTTCGCTTCAATTTGTGAGTTAGGTTTTTTCTGGAATTTTCAGGTAATATAATAAAAAAAATCAAAAACTCGAAAATTTGAAAGTTCAAAAGTTTTACATTTGACAATTTCGAAACTTCAGCATTTTTCAAACTAAAAATTTTTGGAATCACGGATTTTTCGAAATTTTCGCTTTTTTTGGATTCAATGATTTTCTCAAAACCTTGAAAATTCTCAATGTCTGAATCTTTGAAATTTTGAAACTCCGAAATTCTGAAATTCGGAAATTCTGGAATTATGAAATTCTGAATTCCTGAATTTCTGAATTTCTGAATTTCTGAATTTCTGAATTTCTGAATTTCTGAATTTCTGAATTTCTGAATTTCTGAATTTCTGAATTTCTGAATTTCTGAATTTTTGAATTTCTGAATTTCTGAATTTCTGAATTTCTGAATTTTTGAATTTCTGAATTTCTGAATTTCTGAATTTTTGAATTTCTGAATTTCTGAATTTCTGAATTTATGAATTTTTAAATTTCTGAATTTATGAATTTCTGAATTTCTGAATTTTTGAATTTCTGAATTTCTGAATTTCTGAATTTCTGAATTTCTGAATTTCTGAATTTCTGAATTTCTGAATTTCTGATTTTCTGAATTTCTGAATTTCTGAATTTCTGAATTTCTGAATTTCTGAATTTCTGAATTTCTGAATTTCTGAATTTTTGAATTTCTGAATTTTTAAATTTCCGAATTTATGAATTTCTGATTCTCTGAATTTCTAAATTTCTGAATTTCTGAATTTCTGAATTTCTGAATTTCTGATTTTCTGAATTTTGGAATTTCTGAATTTCTGAATTTCTGAATTTCTGAATTTCTGAATTATGGAATTTCTGAATTTCTGAATTTCTGAATTTCTGAATTTCTGAATTTCTGAATTTCTGAATTTCTAAATTTCTGAATTTCCGAATTTCTGAATTTCTGAATTTCTGAATTTCTGAATTTCTGAATTTCCGAATTTCTGAATTTCCGAATTTCTGAATGTTCAGGAATCCAGGAACTGCCAAATTTTACAAAATACCAAAAGAATTTCAAAACTCCATAAAAATTTTCTCAAAGTTTTCGATTTTTTAGGAATCCCGAAAAAATGTTGGGAATTCTAAAAATTCTGGACATTTGAAAGGTCCCAATATTTCACAAAACAGCTATGCAGAAACTTAGGTTTCCAATTTCCAGGAAACTCGGAATTCAAAAGTTGTTCACTGTGTCCATTTTCGGGGGTTATTTTTCTTATCATATCGATAAGTGAATGATTGTTTTTGCATGGAATGATCAATCATTTCCAAAAATAAACAAAAAAATCACCTGATTTTTCTCCATTTTTCATCATCTTATTGTACGAATTCTCTTGTAATTTGTTATGTTCCGTAGAGGAAACTGGTTTTATTGTGTTCTATTGGGGAGGATGATGGATTACTGTAGTTCCCTCTCTCTCTCTCTCTCTCTCGCTCTCTCTCTCTCTCTCACTATCTTTATCACTGATAACAAAGAAAAAAGAGGAAGAAGTTTTCTCATTCAGTGGCGATTTGATATGATATCGGTTTTTTGTTGAAACGCGCCTTCTTTTTTCTCTAATTGTTCATAAATTTTTTGGTAATTATCTAATTAGTTAGTTAATTAGTTAGTTTTGTATCTCTAATTTATTTTCAAACCTTTCTGAAATTTTTTAAAATTAACATACAAATTTTTATCAAATTTCCAATTGTCCCGATGTCCGACCCTCTATCACGTTGTCTTCAGAATTGCTGTCAACGAAATCGAAGATTCTGTCCTTGACGTCTTCTTCTTTTTTGTATGCGTACGTGATAATTGATAAGATAAATTGAGAAAAAAAAGTGATCACATTGTCCTTCAGATGACGTCACGTCTTCTGAAGATACACAGCGTGACATTTATCAGATACTTTTTAGTTAAAACATATTTTTCGATTCTTGTCAATTTGAAAGTTAGAAGTTCAGAAATTCCAAACATTCGAACTTGTAATTTTTGAAAATTTGAAAATTTCGGATTTTTAGAATTCAGAAGAATGTCTTCGAAAGTGTCTTACATCAAAATTTCTACATATTTTCCTCTTAGATTTTATCTCAAAATTTCCGGAGAATTCGATGTTATCCATGCCAAAATCTATTCCGATTTTTCTTTGGATTTTCTAAAGATTTTCGATTTTTGATTCATTTTCGATCCTGATCTTTTTCTGCAAATTTCCCATATGTTTTCTTGGAATTTTCTTTGTTTTCTGAAAGTTTCAAAAATTTCAGAATTTTCGAATTTCCAAACTTCTGAACTTTAGAATCTTAGAATTATTGAATTTTCCAACATTTTTTAACTGCCGTAAAACCTGTATTAGAAAGACCCCTTATGGAAGCGTCCCTCTAATAGAAGGGCCCTCCGAGAGGGGCTTGGAAAATGGTAGGGCCTCCTGTAATAGAAGGGTCCCCTGTAATAGAAGGGCCCTCTGTGAGAAATGACCCCCCCCCTTCAAAATGTGTTTTGAAATCAGAAAATTTCATTACTTTTTCAGTGGAAAATATTCCGGGAACTCCACTATTTAATAGAAATTTTTTGAAACTCTATTTTCGAAGAAATTCTTGCTAAATTTTTGTGAAATTGGCAGATTTTCATGAGCTTTGAAGGAAATTTCGGAAAAAAAACTGGCTGTAATAATAGAAGGGCCCTTCTGATTGGAGGGCCCCTGTAATAGAAGGGCCCTCCGCAGGTACCTTGGATCAATAGAAGGATCGTACCTTCTAATGCAGGTTTTACGGTATGCATTTTTTCCCGAATTTCAATTTTTCTAGATTTTAATAGGATTTGCTAAATTTGTGAATTCTAAATTTCCGAAATTTCAGATCCCCCGAGTACCTTTCAAATTTTCAACTTTTAACACATTGTCCGGTTTTGAAACTTTCTGAAAAACTTTTTTTTCAGATTTTTTTTCG